AGGGGATCAAGGGCCATGCTGTGAGGTCCTCCTTCCCGTGACTCTCTGGTGCAAACATTTCATTTGAATTCAGCACATTTAGCATCTGCTAAATAGTTCATCAGAAATATGCAGTATTTCCCTGAGAAAAAGTGTTCTTGCTTGGTGCTGTAAAATGTCTTAAAATTGTAGCTAAGGCAGTGGTATTTATCATGTTGTGTTGGTCAATGTGTGCTATGTAGGAGTTGAACCAGGGATTCAAGGGAAGGCTCTTTTCCTTTGTTCCAGCCTTTCCTTGTTTAGTCACAATATTATAAGTGTACATCTAGTCAGTTTGATCTTTCCTGAAGCCTTGGGAGCATGGTTTTAGGTTTCTCGGTTCAGTGATCTGCTTTTGTTCTGCACGGTGTCAGTGTTAAAAGCTGAGATGTTATAAAACAACACATACAGCAGAACAGCACTTCCCATCCACCTCTGCTTACAGGGTGTTCTGGGAGTCTCTGGGCATGGGAAACTGTCCTGTCCTCTCTTCTGTTTTTGAAACAGAACATTTTGGTAGTCTCTCAGTATATTCTGAAGAGGTTTTACAGGTAAGAGGTCCATCTGCCAACATGGAAAACATTTTACAATTTATTAGTTCAGTGTGATGTGGTTTATCAGAAAACATGAGGATTAATTTCTGTTGAGAATTTACACATGAATTCAACATTCTAATCTAGATTACTTCCCATTCCTTGTTTGGTGGACATTGATATTCTGCCATAAAGACTTTATAATTAAATTTTTAAACCTAGGACCCAGGAATCAGATATGTGTTTGGAAGACATCTAATCCAAAATCTGTAGAAATTGATTTGTCATGATGGATGGGTGAGGAAAAATAGCAAAATCATGCTTAAGCTTTAAATTTGTCTTCCTTGGTGTATGTATTACTGCTAGCTACTTCTTAGGGTTAAATATTTGCCCAAGGCCATACAGTTTTTCAGCAGAATAGGCGACAAATTAAATGGCTTGTAAGATGTGTTCTTTAAACAAGGCTCCATTATTTGAGTGGCACAGTCCTTCTCACCTTGAACTTCTAAAATTCAGAAATTTTTACTTATATCCACTTCTAGCTTGTGGTCATGTTAAGCAATAATACAGGCTATATATAACAACAGCAATCTACTTGGATCTTTTTTTCTTCTCTCCCTTCTCTCAGCCCTCCAGGGTGTTGGGGTTTCCATAAGATGATGTATTCCTAGTTAGGATTTAAGTCTAGTGACTGCAAGTTCAAGGTTCGCATCTGCTCAGAATAATATTCCTGGACTATTGCCTATTAATTATTCTCTTACAAAAGCTTTGCAAGCAAGTATCATGGGTCAGGATGATTTAAACTTCCTTGAAATTAATCTAATTAATAGATAATTTTACCATTGTACTTTCAAAAAGATTATAAAGTTCAACAATAATGGACTCTACTATGGATTTTTTTATCTATTAATATCATTATAGATCAAATTTGGTGATCAAATTAAATCATAGATGGGTATTAAAAACCTTTGATGAAATAGTAATTTTTTAAAATCTCATTCCAGTAGGGTTGTAATGTGCTGCTTAGGAGGAATGAATTAAATGAATCAAACTGAACTTACTCATTATTAGACAACAGCATAATTAAAAAAAAATTAAAAAGTCAAATGTTGGTTTCTTAGTGGTGTCACTATCTTACCTGGTTGGGTTTTTAGATAGAGTAATTGACAAATTTTGAACTGCTTTGCATTTTGAAGTTGTGCCTTAGCTGTGTGTTGTGACTGTTATTGTATCATTTCTTTCCCTCTGATGCCATTTTTAATGGGCTTTTAGTTCAGCTTATTGAGCAAATCATTTACCCCTATATAATAGAATAACAACATTTTCCCCTAGTCAGCACTGTGGCCTGCTGTAGTCTGCTTTTGCTGCAGGTGGCAAAGGGGGTCTTTTGAGGTCTTAGTTTTTTTCATGGTGCAGACTTGATTCTCTAACTTAGCTTGTGTACCATGACTGGGTTTGATGGGGTTTTTGTCTCACAGTTGATTTGTCAAAACCTCTCTGATTCTCCTTCCTCGGTCTCTGTGCAGTAAAATAGTCCATCAATTTATCCATTATTTTTCTATGTATTAATATTATGTGTCTATATCTATCCTGTCTTCAGGGAAGACAAGAGAAAACTCGAGAACTTTAACCAGTGCAGGGCTTTACTGTAAGTTTTTGTATTCTTTGTATCACCAAAGGGAATCACTTTGGGTATACAAGAGAAGCTGCACTGCTTCTCCATTGCTGTGAGTGTCCAGCAACAACAAGAAAAAACAGATGTGAAAGATGAGCAGCAAATATCTTGCTGCACTTACTGTTATTTTATCAGCCCCAGTTTTATGATATCACAAAATCTCTTTTTCCTTTCACTTTAAAGGGTTGTGTCAGCTGCTGTCTCTTTGAGGTGACAGTACAAGGCTTTTAGGAGATGACAGCTTTAGTGTAGAAAGGCTGAAGAGTGAAATTAAATGTTTGTAACCCTAGTAGCTGACTTAATCCTCTAACACTTCCACTCTTCACTGGACCACATATGACATGGTTGGTACAATCTTGGTCAAAATTTGAGAGGCTAGATCATTTAGTATCAGACTTTCTCTTACCTCTGTTGAAAACCATAGTGAATATTCCTATGTAAAGTGACCTGGCTGTGGCAGGTTTTCTGTCATGGTACAGCCTGGCCACAATGTGGCCACTTCCAAAATGTTTGAGTTAAGGCTGACCATTGCAAACTGTTTTTACAGTAGTATCTAAAGTCTTAAAAATAGATTGAGATGCATTTCTGTAACTTCCCTGTCAGAAAGTGGAGAGTGCTTTCTAAAAATCTGACCCTAAGCCCACCAGCTCCTATTATTCTAGCTGCTGCAGCCTTTTCTGTCCTGCCTGGCATGACAGAGACCATTTCTGAGAGTGGTTTTGTGAAAGCTTTCTGGAGGTCATTTGTCAAGTACAGCTGATACCAAAGTTAAAGTAACAGAGGACTCTATGGATGTTCTGCAGTGTTAAAAAAAAAAAAAAAAGTCAATTAGTCAACCCTGGAAAAAGAGCATTGAGCAACCATGGTGCTTGACATACTGACAGCTCATTAGCTAGAAGCAAATGACTTAGGACTCATTATGGGCATGCTGATCACTCACAAAATTATCAGGAATCCAAATAAAATTGAACCATGAAATACCTTCAGTCAGGGACGTTTTGTAGCTGAACACACAGTGAGGTCCCTTTTGGAAGACTGAGTTTGCTGCCTGTGGTCAAGGAGGATGACTTGAAGGCAGAAGAGCAGAGCTTGAGGAGCTGACATGTCTGGAGAATGGGGGACCTACTTTGTGGAAGATTGAAGAGTTTGGCTTAATTACCTTGCTAAATCCAGTTGAGAGAAGATATATCAAAGGTCTGTTTCTGAGAATGGGCAGGACCAATTAGGTACATTAAATGCAGTCTGTTTAGAAAAGTGCTTCTAATCTAGAGACAGCTCATTTAAATTAGTACTTTCCAGGTAAATACTTGTGAAAAGGTGGTGCCCCCAGTAACCCCCAAAGCACCTTCTATCACAGTAGTGTGGTGAACTTCCAACTGTGCTTCTTGTCACAGAGTGCACTTTGCACGGCCTAATTGGAACAGAACTTTATTCTTCTTTAACACAACTCCAATCAGAACATCAGGATCTCAGTACCAAAGTCTTAAAGCTATTAACAGGGCTGAAATGCAGCAGCACATGACCATCACAGCAGCCACAGGAGCAAGTGTCATAGCAGAGAAACAAAAGCCAAACCACTGCAGGAAAATGGACACATACACTCGCTGGCTCTGCAGAGCACTCTGGTCCCAGAAAGAGAACGGCTATTTAGGAGGATAAATAAAAGACTTATTATGAGATCAAAGATCATGTTCTCAGAGGGAATTTAGTGTGGAATCAGCTAGACAGAATACTATGTATAAATGAAGAACAGTTAAGTAAAGTTTCTTAAAAATGGTTATGAAAGGAGAAACTGACAGGGAAGTTTAACTTAAATAGAAAGTTGGGGCATACCTGCAAAAAGAAGGGGTTAAAGAATTAAATATTGCTGTTCCTTGTGGTAAGTAAAAGAGGAAAATTTGACAACAGTGTTATGGGGTAGTAAGAAGCTGCTGAAGTAGAGTAACTGTCTGGCAAAATAAGAAGTACTGTGTGACTTTCTGGAGGATTAGAGTATCTTAAGCATAGTAAGGGGGTATAAAATTAGATGTTGTGGTACTCAGTGAGGTAGCACCTTTCAGACAAAGGGAAATGGAGTAAGAAGGGCTGAAATTCGACCAGTGACATTTGTGGTGAATGCTGAATAACTAAGAATGAGAAATTGAAAATATCAGTATTTAATGTCTTGGAACATTAACATCTGAAGTTGGAATTAAGTTGTGGGAGTCCCAACAGACCTAAGGTTTCAACCAATTAAATCTATTTTCCAGCACTCTGGGATTAGTTACATGTGCAGAAGCAAGGAAACTGCAGATAAATATTCTGATTACTCACATATTTTTGATTTAATGAAAAAAAGTACAAAAAAATCTAATGAAAAAGAAAGGACATCTTTAATTTTGGCATTTAAAATCAAATGATAAATGATCAACTGATCAGTGATGTGCCTTTTGTTCTTTTAACTTTTTCAGTAATGTGTGAATGTCACATTACATAACACTTAAATGAATGAACCTGGAAATGAAATACATTAGGATGCATCTTTGTGTTCCTCCCCTGACTGGTGGACAACTTGTCTCATTAATCTGTATAGTGGTGTTAATTTAAACAAGCAGCATTATTTGTTGGGATTTATGGCTAGAAGACTTAGAGAATCACTGAGAAAATCTTATGCTATTTTATTTTCAGAGCAGTGGGATAGATTTTATGGCTCTTAATGACTGGAACATATCATAAACTCTCATAACTTGTAATGAGTGTAAAAACTACTGCAGATCCAAGTATTCTGGCAGAGGATGTGGGGGCCAGTAACCCCTCAGGGCAGTGGGGTGTTATGTCCTGTGCAAGTTCCTTCTTTTGTTGGTAACTGCTGCCTAACCAGCACTGGGGTAAAGGTGGAGATAAAAACTGATAAAAGTGAAGACCTTTGAGAGGAATAATGGAAAACACTGCAAACAGATGAAACAGTAAATGTAAGAGTAACATTCCTGCATTCATTATGCATGTTTTTTGAATATTGTATTTGTTGAAGTGTCTAGGATCTATTCTTAGAAGTAACTGAGTATGATTCTGGTTCTAAATGAACTTGAGGAAAACTCACCTTTGCCTGGTACTCCCTAAGGGTCATGGGGGGCATTATTTAATCTCAGCAGTGTCTCTGACAGCTTCCCTGCTGGAAAGGAAAAAACCCTTCTGTAACCTCTGGGGCACTGTGACGAGTTCATTCAGGCTTTGGTGGCTGTATTCTACTGCTTTAGACCAGGTTGGTGTCTAAGATAATTGAAAATACATTGCCTCAGGGCTTTTAGTGTGGGGAGAGATTCATACCCAACAGAGGGGCTGTGGGCAGAACCTGCTTCCTTGCACCAGCTGCAAAAATAAAGATGAGAACTCGTTGTTCATATCCAGGTCAAGGCTGGCACCTTAGGAAGTTCCCCTTTGGCTGTGAGGTGCAGTTCTGGGTCCCACAGATGTCAGCAAGAACATTCACAAGCTGGGTTTGGTGACACCAGACTTGGCTCAAGTGGGAGTTGAGGGATCCCGAGTTTGCAGATTGAGTAACTCATACACAAAGGCCCTGGGGAAGAATTTAAAAATTGTATTTCTCTAACTGTTCTTGTTCAAATTTAATTGTGCTTCTTGCTTTCTGTTGCTCTCCTTTGAATCAATTAGAGATATCTTTATATGAAGGAGGGACAGAATTCCACAGTTGGCTTTCTTTGGTGCAAGTAGCTGGGTACGCTGTCATAGAACCAAGTACAGGGACAGTAGATTTTGTCTTTATTATGTCTAACACAAAAATTGAATGAAATTTGAATGTTTTGGGGATTTGTACTACCTTTGTTTGTTTCTTGCATGCACATGAGTAGAATGTATATGGAGGGAACCAGGAGTTTGAAATAATTTCTGACACATGACAGACTCTCTATGTTAGATGGACAAAGGATGGAAAACTGTTCTAGGTGCCCAGTTGTGTTGTATTTCTTCCATCAAAATGTTCTAGATCAGCTCTGATGGAGTGGCTAGGAGTGGTTTCTTTTAAGCTTAAGAAAGCCACAAATAGAATATATTTGCATTTCCATGTGTAGCCCTTTCAATTTTTAATATAGAATTATGTCCAAATGTGTTTTTATCTAAGCCTTATTAGACAGAGATTGATAATCTTCTCTATGAATTTTTCATGGGGTTTTTCTTGTGCATATGCTGGTTCAATGATGCATTTTCATATGAAATACATAAAGCTTTTTTAAGCAAAAATAAAAGCACTGAAAATCCACATCAGTTCAATTACACTTGCAGATTACAATAAAGCTGTAATATATATCTATTGTATTGAAATGCTAACTCTATGAATTTTTGATCTACTTTAAAAATGTAAAACTTGGATTTGATTAGATTAGCTGTGGAGTAATCTACACTGAATAAATCTGTCTTCCTTTCATGTGATTTGTCAGTGTTTGTAGTGGGTTTGTACACACAGCTTTTGCCATTATTTTCCAGGCAATAAAAGCAGCCATGCAGAAAAGCCACCCATAAATGTCAGAAAACAGAGATATTTTGTTGCATTCCAAGGGCTTTGAAGGTCAAGTTCAATTCAGTTAGCTCACCCAGCATGAGAGGAGCGTGATATGATGATGGAATGTGTGTTTGGGTAGGATATATATGTTACTGTCCCTGTACTATTCTATCAGGATAACAGATCAGTGAGAGATTAAACTTTACTGCTTGGGAGAATGTCTTTTGGAAAACTATCAATTTTTATGATTTTCTCTAGCTTCTATTGAGATCCTGTGCAGAAATAATGAATCCAAAGAATTTACAGCTTTTATCACAATGGAGATTGACTCCTGATTGTGGCTTTTGGTGCTATTCCACTGCAGGTATCCCGTTCACCTCAGTGCATTCACAAAATAAGTCTCAGATCATGGATTTTATTGTAAACATGAAATTGTGTTTTGCCTCCTTCTGAGGAAAAGAGGTTTGTGTAAAAACAGTTTCTTAACTCCTAGAAGGGAGAGGTCAGCACAAAAGGCAGAGTTTTCCCACTCCAAGGAATCTGTTCTGCCAAGTGCCACTGCAGTGTTTTGTGCTTACTTCCCCTGCCATGCCCCACTTTTTTTTTTACTTTTATAAAGAGAAGACGTGATCAATAAAGCTCATAATTAAGTTGAAGGCACTGCCTTGATCAGTGCTTTTATTGAGTTTCAGGATTTGAGGAGCTCCCTAGTCAATGCGGGGAAATGTCATCAACTGCTTGAGCAGTATGTGAGCAGTCGTTGTGTTTTGTAACTGCAGTGCTGCATAATCTTTGCTATCTGGAGAGTCTCCTTTGTGGTGGCTTCTGATGGCCTCTTGCTCATGTTATCTAAGGATGAATAATGAACAGACTCCTACCAGTAGAAGGAATACGATTGTATTAAGTGGGCAAGAAATTTTGTTTATGTTCCTGCTGCTTTGCAACATCTTCCTGTGACTTTGTGAGAAGAAGTGAGTGAAGCAGGGTCAGTAAAAGAAACCCCTCTGCCAAAAATGTACAGGTCATTTGCCCCTCTGTGTTGGTACTGACACTGCATTGCTCAGTGCAGCCCCTCCTAAAAAAGATTTAAAACACAGGCCTGCCTCCTATTTTTCATTGGGATCATAAAATAGCTGGATGTACTGCTAGGAGCACGCAGTGTTTAATGCAGTTGATGTGCATTCTAGATTAAAAGCTCTGTTCTATGGTGCTGTGATAATAATATGATCATTAATGTTTCCAGTACGAGTGCCTGGCTGGGTTCTGCATGCCTTCATCCAAACACGCCCCCTAAATCCCTTCCCTGTTCCATGTGTTTCCTATGGCATATTGCTCTGTGCTGGAACATGCAACACTCCTTAGAATGGACTCTAATGTGACCACCCCAGCAAATCCCACATCTTCCATGTGCCTCCATTTGCTCAAAAATTTGGTACCCCGAAGGTCTGTAAGCCACAGGAATAGATTAAGCTCTCTCTTCAGAGAGGATTCTGCCACACCAGTGTCCTGATTTTGGTTGTGTTTTCTTTTTGTTTCCCCAACCCCTTTTTCTAAGCTTCCAATTAAGAAAACAGCATGCAGAAAAGAACAAGAATTAAGCAGGGAAGCTGTTTTCTCCCCTCACTAGAAGTAGCATGCTCCCAGCTATATGGCAGAATATTTCAAATTCCAGTTACAGAATAGCTGATCTCAGCCCAGACTTCTCTGTAATTAGGTCGTGCTTTTCTTGGCTGAAAATGGTTGGGCCTGTTGGAACGTTCCTCAACGTGCCAGGAGCAGACAATGCTTGGAGGCACTCAATAATACATTTTGCTTTTCTGATGACGTGTGTGGCAGCTATGTATGGGTGAAATAGGCTGGAACAGGTTTAACTGAAGTAAACAGTGAGATTTCCATGTCTGATGGAAAACTGATAAATTGCCAAAAGAATTTAGAGCCCAAGGTTTCCTTGCTTTGTGTGAAAGGCCATCCATAGAGGCTGCTCTTGCCTCCTGCCAATCCAGGACAAAATTCCTACAGCTGTGCTGAAGAGTCTCTTGGTCAAATGTAAAAAAAAAAAAAAAAAAAGAAAAAGGAAAAAAAGAGAAGAGACTACAAAAGATCTCCTGCAGCCTGGCTGAAGTGCATCATCTCTCATGTCTGCTTAAGAACAGCTTCTTTATAATTCACAGTTACCCTCCTTTTTTTTTTTTTTATGAAGACCAGTGTGTAAAAACTTATTTTTCTCCTTTCTGAACTTGGACCTTTGCCTGGTGAAGGAGCTGTCTATCACTTCAATATTTTTATATTTCAGAGCAAAGCCAGCCTTTTATTCAGCCAGACCTTAAAGAGCCCACATGGCTCTTCACACTGAACAGGCTTTGCATCCCTGCCTCTGGAGCAGCAAGGCTTTCACCTGCACTGTGTTAGGGTGCCCTGGCTGGCTGAGGGTGCAAGACTAAAATCAGTAATGATGCCCTGATTCTGTTTTCTTTTCATGCTTGGGAACAGCAGGTGCATTGCAGAGACTGACAGAGAGAACATCCAGAGGAACTTTCCAAAAGTGCTGTCCTCCCAAAGAATAGTGTGGGACGAGGCTGGTGTGAAGGCCAGAGCAAGAGTCCTGCCAAGTAACAGGCTGGGCAAGATCTCCTCTGTCTTCCACTGTTAAATGGCTTTTAGAAGGAAACAGAGGCATGGTGTCAATTTTTTGTTAATTTCAAGTCCAGTGTGGCAGTCAGGGATCTTTACAGAAGAAAATTCAATGGAGAAAGCCTGGGCTTGTCCAGATGGTGGTAGGCAATTACAATTCATTTGTGTGAATTTCTGGTTATGCAGTTTTTGCTGTGTAGCATAAACTTTCCCCCACAGGCAGAAGTGAGCTGCAGGCAAGTGAAGGTTTCCAGCAAAAGGCATTTTCTTCACAGATGTGCAGCCTGAGAATGTGGGGTTGTTACAACATTTTATTTACTTTCATTTCTTCTGCCTCTGGGCTGCTGTCAAGTGTTTAATTTTATTTGTCTGATTATTTTCTTTTTTATCTAGAAGTTAGTACTTCCAGAGGTTACATCCCAGTGCAGTGTTTACTAAACCTATATGTATGTGATTAACATCCATTCCTGCTGCTGCATACCAATCACACTAATGATTTTACTGTTGCGAGCAAAAATTGAATTTTTCTCACTTTCACTTTAGAAGCCATCAAATTACCTTTCCTGTGAATTCTGAAACAAGAAATTTAGTATTTCTGGTATTTCCTGTAGAATAGCAGAGAAATACAAAAGACTTTTAATAACTACATCTTTTTTCAAATATAAAGATCTGCTGACCAGAAGTCTGCTGGTATTTTATTGTCTTCTAAGAATTTTTCTTGATGTATTTGTGGGGCTTTTTGTTGTTGTTTTTCAACTGGTTTATGCGTTTTTTAGTCTATCTCTGATTGCAAGAATGAACTGTTTGGAGGGGATGTTCATGAAAATGTTGGCAGCTATAGAGTGCTTTTCAGAATGTTTGTGAAAATCCCTCAGTTACAGATTCAGTCTTAAGATGTTGCTGATCATGAATCTTTGTATGTTTCTATAGAGGAGAAAGAGAGGTCATCTAAGTGAGGTATATCTGGCAGGATAAGAGTTAATACTCACATATGGGTGGTTTTTTTCTTTGAACTTTTCTCAGCAGGTGAAAAATAGCTACAATCAGGTACTACTTCAGTAAATAGTAACAACCAACTGCCAGGTTGAAAGATCACAAATTCTTGTAGCAGCAGTTCTATTATAGGGAAGCGTGTGTCAGCCTGTGTGTGTCAGAAGGCTTGCCAAGGTATTGATAAGAAGAGCTGGGCAATAATCCAGCACCAGAAAAAAAAAAATCACCATTTGAGAGCTGTACTGCAGAGGCTTTTCTTTTTTTCTCCTTTTTAATACCACTTTATCATGCAGAGAATACATTAGTGTTTATATAATATGCATCTACAGCTGCTGATGAAGTTCACCCTAGTTGTGAAGGACATCAGTGACTCAGTAACTGGAGTTTTAGATTAAATATTCTTAACAGATCTTATAGAATGAAAAATCAACAACCTTATTTAAAGTGTGCTTTGCTGCCATGGGGATTTTATGGGGGATAGATCTTTTAAATTACTGGACAGCTTTCAGCTGCGGTAGAAAATCGAGTAGCAGGCTAGCCAAAGGCGTGCCTTGCTCAGAAGTTCAGGTTGCTTTGGTGGTGGTGTGACCTTGAGGTGTGTGAGCTGGTGTTGTGCTAATGATGGATTTGTTCCTGCTGGAGTGGGGCTGTTGGCATGGGGAACCCTGGGCCAGGAGCAGACTGCTGAAGGGAGTACAGGTTCAGCTTTGAGTAAGGATGAAACCAAGAGCAGGAACTGTAGGATGTGGGGAGCTCAAAGTGCTGGAAAGCCTGAAGGGATAAGAATATCTCCAGACAAATAAATGCTCCTTCTTATCAGGCTTCAAGTTTAGGGCAAGAGGGAATAGTGACACAAAGTAATTCCTGAAATCTGGCAATGCTTTGCAATTTGAAGGGCTCAGAATCACTGGGGCTTTTCAAATATAATACCTTCTTGTGCATGATAGCATATGGAAGGCCTTCAAAATCCATCAACAATTACTCCTTGAAACTTGGAAGTTCTTCACCTTACATAATTTCATATTATTACCTAAATAAGTAAGTAAGTAAATAATGTCTTTTTGATGAAAATGCTGTATGTAAGAAACTTGTGCAGTTACCTGAGACTAATAAAAGGAGATTACATATAGAAGGATTATCTCTTATATAAGGTTTTTAATACAGACTGCTGCTGTTACATCAATTATTTGGACTGTGCTTATTACTGTTTGTTCATTGCTCAGGTCATACCCCAGTAAGCCTGAACCCACTCTGCACAGTTTTGGCCTTAATGAAAGATCTGGTTGACTATGTTGAGCTGCTATGTGAATTGTGGTGAAAGCTGAATTAAGTAACAAAGTTTTAACAAATGGCAACGACACGAGGTACAGTGAGCTGTGTTTTGAGATCCCTTGAGCTGCCTTAGCCATAGAAAAGGCCAGAGCTCCTGCAGAGAAGGTGTGCAAGAAGTTATGTGTCATCTATTTATGCCTGCTTAAACACCATAGTCCTCAAACACAGTCCTGGTTCAGGGTACCTTCTTATGAGGAACACATTCAGGATAAAACTCACATGTTTCTTTCATTGTAACTACCTGTTTTTAGGTGCACTGCATTTCTTGCATTACTTCTTCATCACTGAACTTCATTTTTGCTTTTATTTCTCAGCTTCCTGGCTGCTTCCATTGCAGTTTAGCAAAGATGTCCTTTAAAAAAAAATTGCTTTAATCCTAATTTTACTGGTTTTTTAACCCAAATGAGATCTTACTGGTGATATAAACCCTACCAGCTTTGTTCTTCTCTCCTCCTGAGAGAGAAACACTGACAGCAGTCTCCTGTGGAGCCTTTCAACATATTCAGGTTAACTTTCACTTCTGGAAGAGAAGAAAGCAAATCTTCAGCTACTGATTTTATGCAAATGATGTTTGACACATGACTGTTTCTAGAAGGATCTTTGCTATATATCTTACTCTCTTTGAAGACTTCTAGGACCCCTGCTTGACTGTCTCTTCAGCAGCCCTGTTAGAGGGAGTTTCAGGACAAAAGAAGTAGCTGGAAGGCATGTTTTTTTCCAATACTTGTGAAATCAGTAAGGTACACTGAACTAGAGTGCTGAAAGAATTTCATTTAATGCTCTGTTGTAATAGAAAGTAGCTTTTAAATGGGATGCTCAAGACTATAAAAGAGAAAATTAAATAAAACTATTTTTTACATATAGTGGTCTACAAATTGAAACAAATTCAGTAAGTGTAGCCATTATTGTTTTCATTTGGTATTATACTTGAGTAAAAACTGAAACCCTGCATCAGTCCTGTAATGAAAGTGGTATGATGTGCAGCGATATTAAAAAAGAGATTGAGTTACTCACTGTGCCCGTAAAGGCAGGAATTGTGGAAATAATACAATATTCCTGCATATTGTGTCATCCAAGGGACCCAAAGCCCTCACATAAGTCTTTACCTTTCATTTGTCCTTCCAAGCCCGGTGCTGCCATGTATCTAAAAAATAAAAGAAAGAATGAGCACTGAAGAAAATCAATTTATGAAAAAAGGCTTATTTACAATTACTGTTTGGGGCATGGCTCCCAGGGTTCTTTACTGGAATCTTCCATAATGTTCATCATGTTCAACTTTGTCTTTTAACAAATTCGGGCAGTTACTTGTGATAGAAACAATAAGCCTGAAAAACAAAACAGTTTTAGAATGAAATTTTAAGATTTGAGTAAAAAACTTCTGTTGAGTTCTTTGTGATCCTAGGGAAGTTGATTTCAACCTCAGTTTATGCACCTGTGAAATGGGTTTTTACTGTGAAACTCACTCGGATGGGGATTTATTCCTGCTTGTGAAGTGGTTTGATAGTCTCTGCCATATAATACATGCCAAGTGGCAGGGTGCTGTGCTCTGGCTAGAAAGTAGAATAAAGATACTTAGTACAGATCTCAGCAAAATTTACAACTTAAGAAATTATCTTCCTATGCTGAAAATATTTCCTTCTTCCCCCCCTTCCAGACAACTGTATACAACACAAAAAATGTTTGTGTCTTACTATTCTGTCAGGCATTATTGAACTATAAAAAAATTATTCTTGTCATCTCACTCCTTAACAGATTATGAAAGAAAAATGACTAAAACTTGTTCAGACTGTCAAGTTCCTGCCAAACTGAAACTAATGAATCACCCTGGCACTGGTAATTAGCCAAAACTCGATGATATGAAGCATATAAATAGTGCTAGGGACCATGTTGCCAAATATTTATCCCCCTGAAAGTAGTTACTGTTTTATTCCCATGAAGTTTTTAATTAAATTCTATCCAGCAGAGTAGTATGGCACCCCTGGTTTTATTTCAATTCTTATTTTTAACAACCTAGATATAAATTGAATGTGATTCATGCCTGCTAGTTATTGATTTTGATATTATACATACTAGACAGAATGAGCTTGGTGTCTGAGAGATAACTGACACCAAAAGTGGGATGGTGCTGTTGTGGGGATTGAATAAAAAGAGTTAGAAGAAAATCTTTAGTCCTAGTGAGAGCTTTTGGCCCAGTGGGGTCTCAGGTATTGCAGTTCAGGATCTCTGATCTCAACTTTTTCCTCTTCTATCACTTTTTTTTTTTTTCTTTTTTAAACTGGGAATGAGCCTGTGGGTAGAGACTTAGTCACATTAACTAAAGGTAAACTCCTTCACTCTTCTGCTAGACGATCCTGTATTCATAGAAGGATAATTTTATTCTTGCCACTGCCATCTAGGCTAGTCTGGTACTATAGTGACTGAAATAAAATGTAACAAAAGCTAATATACCATGCAAGTCATCCAGGTAGAAACTCTTTAACATATGTCTTACTGTGTACCCCTCACTGAGTATCTGAAAAAATGGGAAACATTTAAAAGATGTTTATAACTGAATATACATTTCTTATGTAAATGTTGTCAGTATCAAAATATCTACATTAGATTAGTTTAAAAAAAAAAGGATTGATTGAGATTTATGCACAGGATATGTCCATGTTAAAGAAACATTTCTTCTGTTAAGAGACAATTTGCATTCATGAGAACTGAAAATTAAGAAGTAATAAGATTTGTTTCTCTGCTGACTTACTGATTAGTGTTGGTTAAGCTCTCCCAAATGGTAGGATGTGTGAGTATTTAAAATGTTGATGCAGACAAATTTTGAGGCAAATTACAATTTGGTATTCATCCCTGTATGTAGCTTCAGACTTCTCTGTCATATCCCAATGACATATAGAATTTCTGGATTCTCAAATGCTGAATTTTAAGTTTTATCAGAGGACCAATAACAAAATCCATTTATCTGCAGGAAAGGAGATTTTACAATAGGCAGTTAATGACAAATAGCACCTGGGTTTGGTTGTTTTGTTTTTGCTTTTAATGAGCATGTAAAGAACATAGGGACTTAAGGGGATCAAATTACTTTTAGAAGTGCCCTGTAGAATACTCATGGCCACCGATCAGACTTCTTTACTTGGTGCTTTAAGAAGGCTGTAACTTTAAAAAGTGTGTGCTTTGGTGTTTTTCAGTATTTTTACAGTGAAATTAATGGAGCCACTGAAATGCCAGTTTGCAGTAGTCTTTCCCACAGAGAATGCCTTTTGTTGGATCTCATGCCTTCAACAAAAATTGCAGGGGAACTGAATACTTAATACCAGCGTCCTTTGTACAAGTTGATAAGTAAACATTGGGTTTGCATATGGCTAGATTTTTTTTTTTTTCTAAACAATTTCAACAGATGCCTTAATTCTGTTTATTGTAAAAATTCCTTTCTCTCATTTGAATGTTCTTATTAGTGCAAATTCTTTCTGGCTAAGCAACACAGAGAAAAATCTTTGCTGTTTTCATTTTCAAACAATATTTTCTTACATAAAAAACCAAAAGGCCATATTTTTTCTTTCATCTGGTAGTACAGTGCATTTAAAGAAAAGAAATATAAAAATCAGGTGGGTTTGTAGTGAAGGCAAAGAAATTTAGCTACACAATTGAATGTTTCTCAGGGAAAGGGCTGTTTAGAACAACTCTCCGTGAGAAGCACATAAAGCTGATTGCACTATTTTCAAGTTCAGAACAGATTTGCACAAAATAAAGGAAGTAAAAAGTGATATTCAATAAACCAGGAAGATAGGGTATGTGGAAATAGGGTAGTAGCATCATACAAGCAATCTTGCTTCCTGCTGTGGATGTTTTGATTGAAACATGCTCATGTAGTGGAATGAGACTCTAGATTCCTCTTTAAATATTTGCAGTATTTTAATTCTGATTTGCAATAAATAATATGACTAATCCATGCTCCCTCTCATTGCTTTATGATTATCACTTGCACTGCACATCTTGGCTGCTTTTAGCACTTACAAGGCTCTGATATATAGCTAAATGTTTCTGACTCCATCTGCTACAAAGAGAAGTGACACAGAAGTGCTCCCCAGCCATTTTATTGCAATTTAATGTAAATCTGTTATAATGCAGATGATGAAAAGTGCAGTGGCTTCCATGAATTCTGAGAGCTGTGATTGGGTTGTGGCTGCTGCGCTGCCCTCTGAAGATTTGCTGGGTTTAATTTTACATTGCACAACCATTAGCTGGCTGAGGTTCCTCACTGAATCACACTGCCACAATACTTCTTCATCCTCCTCTTCCTTTTCTCCTCACAGTGACCTCCTTCACCCATGTTTTCCAGCCCAGTCTCTCATTGCTTTTATCTTATAAATTGTGACCTCCCAGTACATCGGAACACAGAGCCAGGCAATTGACCCCTGCAATGGATTATTTTGTTACCTCTTTTTTGTGGGACTATCATAACATCCCTTCCAATTTGCTGTGGGCTCATTGTGATTCTCGCTGTTGTGCAAGGATAGATTAATCTTACCTGGTTGCGAGGAGAGCTTGCCTTTACCATGGCATCATGTGTGATCTTATTGCCATCATGTAAAATAAATGCTGTTAAATGTGTTCTGTGCTGGTTAGTTGGGAATTAGCTGGTAGATGGGAATTGGGGTGATCAGATTCTGTCATCCAGCATTAAGTGTTATTATAGACTTATGTAGAGGCCCTTAGGCAAATGATTTTTTTTTCCCCCTGTATTTTCTGTAAATGTTACTGTTTACAATGATAGAATTACCTTCAGTAGAGTAATTAAACCGTGGCAAATTAGGTAAACCTAGAATGCAATTAAAGTACAGTAAAAACACGTGTAAATGATAATTGTTTCATTCCCACAGGGGAAATGTGAAAATAATCTTTTCGATAGAGTATCATATCTAGAATCTTTACACATGCCAACTGACATGATTGTCCTTAAGTAATTTGTCTAGAAGGAATTGACTGCAGTATTAAAAAAATAGCTAAAAATAAGGAGAGCATCCTACTTTCTCACAGGTTTTTCACCTGCAGACTGGGGAGTTACCCAGGAAAGAGTTGTGATCTTTCTGGGATTACATTCTCCAGTCCAGCTGACCGCATGGGCTGGAGGTGGAAGGGGAGGACTAATTACAGGCTTCAGATTGGTTGAATTATTAACAATGGAGATCGTCTTGTCCAAAATAATAATGCCTTACTTGGTAAATTCATGAACTTGGAATAAGGCAGAATGTGGTGCTGACTTCACCAACAATTTATTCTAAATTTTTTAAAGTTATAGCATGAATTCTTTTGCATGGAATGATCTGTAGGGATGGTAATCTTTCCAGTAAACTTTGTGTGGTGTTACTGCAGATGGCATTTTCCTTTTGTGTGTTGTCATCCCTAGAAAACGGATGACTTTGAGTGAAGAATTTGGTGTGGATGTTTACATAAAATCTTTATTCCAAATGCAAATAAAATTTAAAGCTGCTAGATGTTTTTTGAACCTTAAAAAAAAAAAGGCTTTTTTTTTTGTGAGCAAAACTGACTCATTTGCGACCAGTTCTAAAAGAAATTCTGCAAACCTCTGAAATGCAAATTTATTGAAATAAAACAATCCAGTCACCTGTCTCCTTGTGCTCCTGCAGCAAGGTGACTACCAGAGGAATAATTTCACATAAAGCTTTCTCAAGTGTTTTTCCTTCATCCCCTAATTGAAGATATGTATTTTTTTATTAAAACTGACTCTCAATTTTAATAATTTATTTCCTTTCTTCTTTTCATTACAGAGAAAGTCCATTGTTGCCGTGAGTTTCATTGCAGCATTCCTCTGTCTGATCATCGTTCGTCTCACAAATGAAGTAACTTTCCCTTTGATCCTAAACTGCTTTGGACAAACCAGAGTCAAGTGGATCCCATTTTCTAATGGCCAAAAGCAGCCTCTGAAAACTCATTATGGATATATAAATGTAAAAACACAAGAGGTAAGACCTGGTTCTAACAGACTGGCCAAATGGACCAGTAGATTTCTTTTTCTCCAATCCCATCTAATGCTTTTTTACAACCTGCCCCATGTAAAAACTCAACAAGGGTGTTTCTGAACAAAGCGGCTATTTTAGAAGTCTCCTACCACTTAAATGACCTTTGAAATTTTTAAAATTTCTGTCATGTCTGCAGTGGAGAGAGCAGTGAACTGACCTCAATATCACCCTTTATTGAGTGAAACCTTGTTTATACAAACAAGAAAATCTTTCAGATTAATTTCAATCCTTCAATCCCTCTAACGCAAAAGGGAATTTTCTTGTGTTTGTTGTAATAAGGTCCTAAAAATGTTTCATTTTGCCTGGGCTTCTCAAAGAAGAAATAGCTCATTTTTGTTTGTATGAGCATGAAAGAAGAAAAGGAAGTGATATGTAAAATGAGAATATGTGAGTCTAGTGAATGTATTAAGCTAGAGGTTTACTGGATTTTTCTGGAAGTAGTGCATTAATACTTGATAGCTATTTCAAAACTAGGTATGTATTTGCATTCTGTACTTTAAAAACTCACTGATGTGTATCTGCTTTGCAAAATACTTGCTGTGTGATAAAAATACTTGTCTGATGAAATTAGGTTTTACAGGGACTCCTGCTTTAAAGTGTCTTAGTTGTCAAAATTTCTAGTGCCACTGTTGGGTTTTGGTGGTGGTGGTGCATTTTCTTCAGACTTTTCCTCTCTCTTTGTAATATTTGTAAAATGAAATCTTTCAAAATAAGGCAACATAAAAATTGAGCTATTTCTGTAGTTTGTGATCAGTTCTGGTATTGTCAGTCATGAGAAATGCTGTCAGACTTCCATTAACTGCTAGGGTTTTTTTTTTTCCTATAAAATTACAGTTATTAATGAGTGAAATTCATTCACATAACAGCTTTACAGAGAATGAAAATACTTCACCACTTCATTAAATTTAGTCCTGTAAGTGTATTGGACTAGTTAGTTATTATCCTACCTTTAGTGGGTTAAATGTGAAACTCAGAATGAGAGAGAGGCAGTTTTTAGGAGGCAGCTCCCTTTAAACATATGTAGCTTTTAATCATTGCTCCTGTAAGATGCAGCACTATTTTGGAGGCCAAAGTACATTACCTATAAAACAGAAAAAGGACAAGCACCTGGAAGGAGAACTGTTCAGATGTGAGTGGTAGTCCCAGTGAAAGGAATGGGAGGTGCTGTTGAGCTCAGAGGGGTTAAGGCTTCACCCAGCATCTTCATCCCTCAGCAATGGGAGGGCAGCGTGTTCTCCATGTCCCTGGGTTGTTGCCAAAGTGGCAGGCGTGGAATCTGAATGAGGCAGAGCTGCCGTGGTCACTGGATCACTATCAGTCTGAACTGATAACTGGGGAGGAGAGGAGCATGCTAAGCCATTTTTATTCACCATTGACTTCATCAGAGGTTAGAAGTAGTTTGTGAAGGCCTTAATTCATTCTTAAATTTGATAACACGCTTGGAAGTTCTAACAGTAAATGGAAGTGGATGTCCTGAAAGCTGGTGACCGGTATCAATTTGTAACACATTTGTCTCAATTTGGCTCGGGTCACGAAGGACTCCTTAAACTTAGTAATTTTAGTTGTTTTCCCCGTTGTATTTGCAGATTGCATTAGTATTTGCTAATTAAAATGATAATGAAGAACCTGAACATGGTTTGCTTATTGTAAATGCACTTTTGACTTAATTATCCCCCTGCGAGGGAACTTTTGTTGTGATGTTCATGTGAAAAGCTTTCACATAGCTCATATTCCTAACTCACACTCCTAGCTTGCTCAGACTATGATTTTTAGAACACATATTACTCTGTCAAATAAGCATTTGTATACTATTTGTATTAATATAGCCAGAAAATCTCAATTATTAGTTTCTTTATTGTGTCAAATATATTGAATTTCTGCTCATTTTGTAAAATTTAGGTATTTTCTAGTTTTTTTGTGCTGCTGTGGTATATAAAATAAGCAGAAAGGTTTACTCTATGAGACAGGCTAATGTCCCAGACAGATATGGCCAAGTTTTTTGCAAAATGGGACACATGGTGTCCCGTCAAGGACCAAATGGTGTGAGGAAACAGTACCACAATGAATTATCAGAAAATATAGTGATGGAAGGGAAGATAGGAGGGAAGGCTTTCAGAGATGTGAATTTTGGCTTTTTCTCTTCTCTTCTATTGAGGGAATCTTTTTGCAGAGTTCTTTGAATGAATTCTTTGTTGAATGTGCTCATATTCTCCTAGAGTGTCCTTTGAATCCAGTCACCCACTGGTGTCTCCTGCTGTCTGATAGCACTCCCTCCTGTTCCTCAGCCACTTCTAACATCCTTCTTCTTTTCTTCACATTTGTTCTCTGTTCTCCTTTACCTGTTCCTCTCAGGCTGCACTCCAAGGTCTGGCTGCATGCCAACTCCTTAGTGTACTTTAAAGTGCAAGGTCAACAAACCAGAGGAATTAGGATAATTTGCCACCAACTCAATCAGTCATCTGAAGTGACAGGAAGCTGGAAAATCTAGAATGAGCTGCTTCTCTGCCTTTCCTGTCTCTCTATTGAATATTTTCTGAAGAAAAAGGAAAATCAAACCAAACTAAAAACGGCCCAACTCCCCAGTCTTTTCCATAGCAATAAAAGTTTAAGTTAGGAGGAGCTGGTTTTTTTGGGGGGGTAGGACTGAGTGGGATAGGACTTGAAAAATCTTATGAGATGATGGAAAAGCAATTACTTGGTTAAAATGGTGATGATTAATAATTTGTATTAAAAAAGATCAGGAAATATGATGATGTGAATATTAGTGTTTATCTCAAGTAAAAAACAATGATGTGGCTGTTATTAGGTATGATCAGAATAATGCTGTAAAGACATTTTTCAAGGGTGTTGTGTATTTGACTTGACACTATAGAATTGTGGAGTTTTTATTATTAAAAAGTCTGAAAAAAAGATTAAAACTAGATGTATTGGAGTATTTAATATAAAATGTAAAGAGAGACATAACTTAATCCACAATTAAGGCTGTACATAATACAGGGTTGTTGCTATGGTTTCCTTGATTTGTAGCCATAGCAACAGCTTTGGGAAAACTGTCTTTATGTACAGTAAATATAATAGATTTGAAATACAAATAGATGTGAAGTGTTGTATATACTGGGCCACTATGTCTAGACACATTTTAGTTTCACTTTGGAGATATTCCTGAAATAGGCGATTCTTCACCTAGAAAATTTGCATCCAGAGCCCACCCTCAGTCCCCTCAGTAGGAGAAGATCTTGTAGTAGCCTTCCATGATGAGATCTCTTTTCCCTTTTCAATATCCACATCCGAGGTGACTCCTTGTGATTTGTGGGAAACTCTGCTGCTGTTTTGCAATATTGCTGTCTCACTCAATACATGAATTTTGACCTTTAAGTGAGAAGGAGGTGTATGAACAAGATGACCTTTCTTTCCCTTATTTCCTCCACTTTGTGCCTATGGATTTTTGGTGAGGGGTCCCATGAAATCTGTCTTTAGGAAATGTCATGCCTATCATATGTTAGTTATTTTTATCCTAGTCCTGGTGATTTTTTTTTTTCCTTAGGAAATATCAATTTGGTACAACTCCACGGTGGTTACCCAGTTGAAACCTACTGGAATAAACTTCCCCCCACCCACATCAAGCTGATGTAATGACTCTTTTTGTATATCAAAAATGGGGAAGCAGATAAAAAGAAGCAGGTAGAGAAAATATAACCTTCCTTCTTCTTTCATACCACTCCTACTCTACAAAGAGTTCTGGCAAAATTAATGAACATCATGTATTTAAATTGCAGCATTATGACATCAATTTAAAATCCATTAGCAGTTTGAAACTTTATGCTAGGCAAGTCTAATAGTGTTCTTGGATATTTGATTGTGCTTCCTGAAAGGTGAATATTGAATAGATTTTTACTCTACCGTCAGTATTAAAATAATATAGCATTTTCCTACGTACGTAAAATCTGAAATATAGCTGCAATAACACTTGAAGCATAATTATAAAAGTATATTCAGGTACTGAACAATGATTAAAACTGTTCTTGGAAAAGGGTAAGTTCTGAGATGACCTAAAATCCCTACATTAAACTGCAGCTGTGAGATCTAATGGCTTCCTCTGAAATGAATTCTGAGGGAGCAAAGAGCCTTTGTGTCGTGAGCACTGAAGGATCCTGCATTACAGTGATGAGCACTAGATAAAAGGAATGTGCATTGTAGCACTTAAGACTTCTTAAAAATCCTGTCCTAACTGAAAAACTCATTAGTACTGTATTGATATTGAAGGAATACATTTGGATCATATTATCCCATCCCATTTTGTCCCTAACCTGAACAGCCTGGGCACAAGCATTAATTGCTCACCACTTGTGCCACACACAGCTACGAACATGTGGGACTGGACAGCCTAAATCTGCTTCCTCTTTTTTTTTTCCCCTGTTTGTCAGAAGTTCTGTTGTAGAACTTGGCTTAAATGAATGCAGGTTTCCACAAATGAAATACCCCAGATATGATTATTAACAGGAGGCTACAGACCTTTGTGTTGTCCTTTTTATTATTCTTTTCAAAACACAATAAATTAAGTGCACTAAGAATTTGCACTAATAAGAACATTCAAAATTACCTGAAAAAATTACCTGAAATGTAGAGGAAAATTAACATAACATGCAGAAATATAGGATGAGGTGTGGTCTCTGGTTGTAAGATAAGGCACATACAATTTCAACAATAGCAAAACCGTAGTTGTCAACATGTTATAAGTAGTCATTAGATGGACCCCCACCAACCATGAGACACCACCTTTCTTACAAAACTTGAAAAACTAAATTAATAAGTCATAAGGAAAGCAAAGAATGGAGTGAATATTAGTTCCTCTCCTGATATGGGAAGTAAGAAACGTTTTTCAAAAAGACTAAAATTTTGTAAGAAATAATATAAAAATGTAAAGCTAGCTACCAGCCTGGGAA